ATTGTTGTCTGTTTTATTGTATGTATTTTTATTGGTCAATGACCGAAATAAATATGATGATTGATAGATTATTTAGGAAATATATTTTGGATAATAGCTCACCAAGGATTTCATTAGCTATCCTGCAACTACCATTTGAGAAGGATAAATTTATCAGACTTAAAAAATAACACTGGGCTTATATTTTATCAGCTGTTAAGTATGTGGCATGAACATTTGGTAGAACATTATCACTTATGGGCTTTGTTGGAAAGTTATTATCTATTCCCACTATAATCATGGCAAATTCTTAGCTCAACATACAGTAGAAAACATGTCTTATTTCCAGGGGTGTAGAATGCAAGAAATCTTTGCCCATTTGGGGGCATAGATTGGGTTGATGAGACTCATGGATATTTTACTTTAAAAATAGATGGTTGAATGTTTCATTGGAAAGTATGGATGGGAGCCAGGACAGTAATCAATCATTATGCAATTATTATTTTAAAGATTTTCCCTGACTTCAAATCAAATCTGGTCTTCTTAATTCACAACAGTAGCAGTATTAACTTAAGCATGTTTTAACAGTTCAGTATAGACCAAATGCTTTGGCCTCTTCAAAGGCACCTAAGATGCTTTCCTATTTGATGGAATCCATGACAGAAGTTATACTCACAACACATCTTTATCAAAAGCTCAAGAACATTTTTAAAGTAGATTACTATTAAAGTGAAAATGACCATGCCATTTTCATTTATTTTTGTTATTTACAAGAATACAGGTAGTCCCCAAGTTAAGAACGACCCATAGTAAAGAACAGAGTCTATTGTAGCAAAATTTGAGTTAAATACACAATGGTTCAAGTTAATTACACAATGGTTCGAGTTCATTACACAATACCACTTATACAGTATTATACAATAATACTGTTCTGGCTTACATACAAATTTGATTTAAGGACAGACCTTGGAAACGGAACTCGTTCTTAAATCATACATAAAAAGAAAAATGTCTGCTTATGGACTTTGGAATAAAGAATGGTGGATGCTATTTACTTGTGTCAGTTTCAACTTATTTCATAGCAAATTGGGAAAAAGTAGAGGGGTACCAATACTTTTGGCCACATCTGTGTAAATAATGGGTGGCTACAGCCAGAAATTTGTTAAAAAGGATGCAGACCTGTCTAAAAAGACAAGGTAAACTGGAATAATAGAGAGCATCCAGAAAACTAGAAGGAAGAATTTGCTTTCTGGTAAATGAGTTTTGGTGACTGGTCTTGTACAACATATAAGGGTGGTATTTTATGATCAGGCTTCTCTTTGAGAGCCATTTTGTGAGATGGACATGGCATACCCCCAAAATTCCAAATAGGTCTGTTAACCTAAAAAAGGCCGTTGTCCTGACCAAAGCTGCTGATCTCTAAGTTCCACCAAGTAGCAAAAAGTAATGAATCAACAGAGCCAGATAAACTTCAGTTGAATCAAGAATCTGATGAGATGTCAGCAGCCGGGAATTTAAAAGGAACTACAGCAGGAACACTACTGAAGCCAACATATATCTGAGAGTGTTCTACTGCTTCTCTTTCATTCCTGTAAGTTGATTATATCTTTTTTGACTTTTTTTTAAATCTTTCTAGAATTTTAAACTCTTCCTCTGCTGTTTCTATCTCTCTAACCTGCTCTTCCAAGGACCTGATAGCAGAACATTTAAAAAAAAAAAATCAGAATCAGCTGGGATATAAGGAACTTTCCTCTGCATTCCGGCCAGAGCAATCTTCTTGCATATCAGTCCTCGTCAGATTTCCTCAAAAGCCTCTTAGCATCTTTTATCTGATTCATCTGAGAATGGCTGATTCATGACACAATCCCTTTTTCAGTGGAAGAAAAAATGATGATAGGAGATCCAAAGGAAAAAATGATTTTATAATTCCTTTTGGCTATTAAAATATTGAAGGTGTAAAATAGTAGAGCAGGAAGAGACTGAGAACAAATCTCAGTTCCCTTGATTTATGCATTGTCTAGGTTTGGAGTTTTACACATTATCTACCATGTTTGAAAAAGGAGAAAAGAGAGAAACTCTTCATATTGCCTTATCCCTGCTCACCACCAATGCTGCTCCCATTTCACTTGTCAGAGAAGTAAAATAGAGGTGTGCTAGTATGGCGAGATAGTAGTAATAAAAGTGATAATTCTTCTACATACTGAATCAAATTTCCATCTGCCATTAAAAATGGGCTTTTAGAAATTCCTCAAGTTCTTATTTAAACCCAGGATTGAAGGAATTTCACCTACATTTCTAAACATGGCCAACTAACTTTTGCCATGGCTAATGTGCAGGACTTGTAAACAAGCAATGTCATGACATTGACAGAAGAGTTACAGGGATGTTGTGGGGATGTACATTAGTATGACTATACTACTGTTTCTTATATGCCACTGACCTTGCTCCTGGCTGATCACAGCATTGTTTCCATGATAGCTCTGTAATGATAATCTTGTTCATTTAACTAGTGTGGAGGGATGGTTGGCACATTGTGTGAACAGCCTAATCTAGTTCATTTAATTGCCGTAAGTAATTCAATCGAGATCTTTTTTAAACCAAAACAGTCCCAGGTAAGAACCTTCAACTTTGTTGATGGTATCAGTGAACCCACTTGCGCCACTGCAGATTAATATTTATTTCTTTAATTAAGAAAATAGAGGGAATGAGGACTTCCCAGTATTCTTACCAGCAACTAGGAAACCTGATAAAGTGGCCAAGGCACGATTGGCCTAGTCATCATGGATTGTACCCTGCCAGTCTACAGAGTTGAGAATTAAGTCATGCAAACACAGTTATCCACAATTATCCTAAGTCTGTTTAAACCACCTGCAGTAAAATCAAACAGTTTTGCAAATATTTAACTTTAGCTGGCTCAGGTTCATAACTTCAATTTTACAAAGCTATAATCTTCTAAGTCATGGCAAGCAATTGTTCTATATTCAAAGTCCCCTTCTAGGTTTCTACTTTAGTTAAGCTAATAACTTACAGAGGTTAAAAGTTTGTGAACCCTTTTGAATTTTCAATATTTCTGCATAAATACGACCTCAAATGTGATCTGTTCTCCACACAAGTCCTAAAACTAGATAAAGAAAACCCAATTAAATCAGTCAAAAAATTAAACTTGTTCATTCGTTTATTGAAGAAAATAATCCAAAGCTACACATATCTCTTATTTTACTAGACATACCTCTTAAGAATCCCAATCCAAAAGCATTTAACTTACTCTTATGTTTCTCCTGGCATATCATCTCTCATTTCTGTGTAACAAAGTGAACAGAAGCATACTTTTATACACAGCTGTTTTTGCTTTATTCAACAAACATTATTTAAAACATACTACATATTAACCACTACCTTTCTACCAGCATTTGCATGTCTTAAAATTTCTCAGTTTTCTCACCATTAGTAAATGTTCCATCAGGTATACAAATCATCTACCTACTCTAATTTTCACCATGTATGTATAACTTGCAATTAGTTATTTTGATTTCCTAGTCAAATACAACTATAGATAGTACTTGACTTACGACGGCAATTGGGACTGGCAAGGCCCGGGGAGGGTGTGTGGGGGTACACGAGGGTCCAAGGAAGGTGCAGTGAGGCTTGGGGAGGGTGTGCAGTTTGCTTGAGGGTGTGAGGGAGGCGTGGCAAGGGGTGGAGAGGGTGTGCAGAAGGCGTGGCAATGGTCGGGGAGGGTGTGCAAGAGTGTATGAGGGAGGCACAGTGAGGGTTGCAGAGTGTGCACAAGGGAGACACGGCGAGGCATGGAGAGGGTGTACAGGAGACACGATGAGGCTTGGGGAGGGTGAGCAACCGGCTGGTGTGGCAGGAGCACAGAGGGGCTGGGGGAAGGGTGCATGAGTGGAGGAGGCTTACCCCAGTGACTTGCTACCTTCCCCACTGACTTTCTGGGGAAGCCAGCAGGGAAGGTCGCAAATGGCGATCATGTGATTGTGGGGTGCTGCAACCGGTTGTAAGTGTGAACTGGTTGCCAAGTGCCCAGATTGCAATCACATGACCTTGGGGGTGCTGGGATGGCCAGAACTCTGAGGACTGGTCATAACCACCATTCATTCAGCACTGTCGTAAGTTTGAATGGTCACTGAATGAATGGTCATAAGTCGAGGACTACCTGTATTTGATACATCAATGTTCAGATAAATATTGCATCATATAATCTATCTAATATTCATGGAAAATAAAGCCATACTGCACTTCCCAAAATTTGCTCATTGATACTTCTTTTGATTAGAATTCTGCCAAATACCTTTCCACGCAAACCAGCAAATTGATCTCTGTGCAGTCTCTGCATTTGCTTTTGCTACTTTTCCATTTGTATTACAAACGTTTTTCATACAGGGCTAGAACTCTTTTCTTGCAATTGTCCTACTTTTACACTAATTTTTCCTATTTTTTTCCCATGTCCATTTTCCATCAAGATCCATTCTTGACAATATCCAAAAAATGCTCTGTCCCACAATCACAATTTCATATCACATTTTCACCCTTCATTAATTGCCTCAATCTCTCATAAAAAATAATCACATCAATCATGTGTTTAGATTTATATTAATTCCTTGCCATGATATGTACCGTTATTACATCTTGTTTCATCAAATTAAACCTGATTATTAAGGGTTGCCACTTAGGAACTTCAAAGAAATTTAAGCATTCATTTTACAAGCAATGGATATTACAAAGTATGGAAAGTACAGGGTTCATATGAATCCATTTCTGTGGGGGGGAAAAAAAGGGAGACTTTGATATTTTCCCCATATTTTGGAGGATTGCAAGCAGTAATGCATGTATAATTGTTGTGGTTTCCTGGAGCATTGAATTAAATCAACAGGAAGGAATGTGACTGGTATGTCCAAACAATATCTACCTTAGTTGCTAGGCTGGCTTTCAAATCAGAATGCACAGCTCATTCAGGGAGATGTAGTTTTTGTTCATTGCAGCAACATTTTATTAGCTGATGAAAAAAGTCATCTGCAATTCCAAAGTCAAATCTTCTTTCTAAATACACACTTCCAGGGATTAAAAAAATATTATATGCAAATAAAATGGCTTTTTTTAAAAAACAAACTGCCTGCAATAGTTCTGTTTATATCATTTATAGGACAGAAAGGGTGAGGCTCTCTATAAACACCTTTGTATGCTTAGTTCATTTTGATGAAGGTTGTTAGGTGTGTTAGCTTTCACAGGCAGAGCTACTGACAGTAATGTAGTATTGTTTGTATAGCATAGTGAACAATAATAGGCTCATCAATGGAGCAAAATGACCTGCCCCCACACGGTTCCATGTTATTTTAATGGTTTTTAAGGCTTTGTTTTTAATTGCATTGTTTAAACTGTATACTGACCAGAGTCAGATATATGGTCACGAACGGTCACTCATGCCCTTGTTATCTTCCAGATAGACTACTGCAATGCTCTCTACATGGGGCTACCCTTGAAGAGTATCCGGAAGCTTCAGCTGGTCCAGAATGCAGCCGCGCGAACAATTTTTGGGGCCCGAAGGACCCATATAACCCCTTTGCCCCGTGAGCTGCATTGGGTACC